GTATATTAAGTTCATCATTCCGTTTGTAACTTATCGAAATAAAAATTTTAGACCCAACCCAAAGTACATATATGCTTGATCAGCGTAAAATTCTGAGGTGATTTAGCCCTATCCGTCCGTCTGTTGTAATCACGCTAGAGCCAAAACGAATTAAGATGGGAAGCTAAAATTTTCACAGACTATTCTTTTGTCCACATGCAGGTCAAGTTCGATGTTGTGCTATATCGTATAGCTCCCATATAACGGTACCTACCGATATTCGGTATTTTAATGATTTTAGCCACATTTTTTATGGAAATAGTCTGAAATTCTACACAAGGAGTTCTTTGTGGGCACTTTACCCCCTGAAAGAGAATTGTCTACATAGGTCCACGATATCGTATAGCCCCCATATATAACCACCCCGATTTTTGATATTTTGATGATTTTAGCCTCATTTTTCAATAGAATTGTCTGAAATTCGACACAAGAAGTTCCTTCTGAGCACTTTACCCCCTGAAAGAGAATTGGCTATATAGGTCCACGATATAGTATAGCCCCCATATAACGGTACTCCCTATATTCGGTATTTTGGTGATTTTAACCACATTTCTCAATGGAATTGTCCGGAATTCCACACAAGAAGTTCATTGTGAGTACTTTACCCCCAGACATCTGTATAGGTCCACAATATCGTATACCCCCCAAAATATCGACACCTTACGATATTCGGTATTTCTAAGATTTTAACAGAATTTTTGATGGATTTTATTTTTTTGAAAAATTCTTAGTTCGTTCCAAATGGTGGAGGGTATTCAAAGTTCGGCCCGGCCAAACTTACTGCTTTTTTATTATACCCTCAGCCATATGGCTACAGAGAGTATATACAATTTAATAGGTCAAAACGTGCCTACCAGAAATAACGGTTTTAGACCCTAGGAGCCGATCTAACGATGTCCGTCCGTCCGTCTGGTTGGTGCGCACGATAACTCTCGAAGGGAGTATCCGATTTGAACCAGACTTGGTACATCGTAATATTTTTGTCAAACTTAGATCGAGTTCGGAGATGGGCAACATCGGTCCACTCCTTCTGGTACCTCCCCCACAAAAGGTCGAAATTTTAAAAAAATATATTTTTTGCACTGAAAGAGAAAGGATAATCCGATTTTTCTCCAACTTTGCACATCCTAATATTTGCGTCAGTGCTAGGTCAGGTGTAAAAATGGACAATCTCGGTCCACTCCAAAGTACCTCCCGCACAAAAGGTCAAAATTTTAAATAATTACAACTCTAATAAAATGTGATGTAAGAGTCCGATTATCTTCAAATTTCACACATCCCATTATTTTTATTAGTCCAAGGTCTGGTGTTAAGATGGAATATATCGGTCCAGTCCCTCTGGTGCCTTCCCCACAAAAGATCGAAATTTTGAATATCCATTAAGCTCATAAAACGCGAAATTAACATTCGATTCCATTTAGACTTGGTACATCTATTTTCTATCAACACAGGATCTGTTATAAAAATGGTAGAGATGGGATTTTTCCTTCTGACACCTCTCTCACAAAGGGTCAACGTTTTGAATAACCAAATTAACCAATTATTTCCACTAACAAAAGATCTGTTGTGAAGATGGTGTATATCGATGGTGTATATCCTTCTGGTACCTCCCTCAATATTTCCACCAACACAAGATCTGTTATAAAAATGGTAGAGATCGGACCATTTCTTCTGGAACCTCTCCCACATAGAGATCAAGATTTAGAAAAATACAACGATCAGAGAAAGCGAAATATGCAATCAACATTCTTCAAATTTCCCACATACCAACATTTTTGCTAATACAATATCTGTTGTGCAGGTGATATATATCTGTGAACCCCTTCTGGTACCTCACTCGCAAAGGGGCACAATTTTCAATACTTTTATCTTTCATAGCTTGCCCAACAAGTCAGCGATTCTTTACAACTTGCTATATCTCAATATATCTTTCTTTGCCAGAAACATGAGATCAATATGGAATTTATGATTTTCCATAAATTGGATATAAATGTTCTATTTTCTTATAATTTTGGCCATACCAATATTTTTATATGTATTAGGTGAAGCATGAAAATGGAATACTTCGGTCGACTATAACTAGTACCTCACGAACATTTTAACTTTTTATAAAAATGATCATATATGTCAAGTAAAATGAAGGAAGTTACCAATATAGTCCAAACCTGGCACGTCGCAATATTCATATCATATTTATTTAGGTCCGATACGAAATGGTCAATATTGGCCATTCCTTCAGAAACCTACTCCATTAGGGGTTAGACATTTGAAAAATCACAACAGAAGTCAAAATGTTTTTAAATAATCGTACATTGGCTGAGGGTATACATCTGTCTGCATACCCTCCACCATACTATGGAGGGTATATTAACTTTGTCATTCCATTTGTAACTCCACGAAATACTCATGTCAGACCCAACAAAGTATATATATTCTTGATCAGCGTAAAATTCTAAGTCGATTTAGCGGTGTCCGTCTGTCTGTCCGTTTGTCTGTTGTAATCATGCTGTCTTTCGAACGAATTGAGATAGAAGGCTAAATGTTGCACACATGCTTATTTTTCCAGTAAGTTCATTAAGCTCATAAATGGGCCATGTAGGTCCACGTCTTCGTATATCCCTCATATAACGGTACCTCCCGATATTCGGTATTTTAATGATTTTAGCGACATTATTCACCGGAATTGTTTCAAATTTGGTAGTCGATGTTCGTAATGGATACTACAGCCTAAGACAGAAAATTGTCTGTGCAGGTCCACGTCATCATATAGCCCCTATATAACGGTACCTTCCTATATTCGGTATTTTGATGATTTTAGCGACATTGTTCATCGGAATTGTTTCAAATTACGTATTTAGAATTCGTGATGGGATCTACAGTCTGTGACAGAAAATTGTCTATGCAGGTCCAGATCTTCGTATAGGCCCCATATATCAGTACCTCACTATATTCGTATTTTGACGAGTTTAGCTACAATACCCACCAAAATTGTTTGAGATGTCGTATTTGAAGTTCGTAATGGATGCTACAGCCTGTGACAGAAAATTGTCTATGCAGGTCCAGGTCTTCGCACCGCTCCCATATAACGGTACCTCTCTATATACGATATTTTGATGATATTAGTTACATTATTTACCGTTTTTATACCCTCAGCCATATGGCTACAGAGGGTATATATCATTTGATTCGGTCAAAACGTGCCTAGTCGAAATAACGGTTTTAGACCCTAGGCCTCATTGGACCAAATCCGTTTCAGAACATTTGGAGTCGATCTAGTGATGTCCGTCTGTCTGTCTGTCTGGCTGGCCGGTGCGCACGATAACTCTCGAAGGGAGTATCCGATTTGGTCCAAAGATCGAGTTCGGAGGTGGGCAATATCCTAATATTTGCATCAGTGCTAGGTCAGGTGTGAAAATGGACAATATCGCTCCACTCCACCAAGTACCTCCCCCACAAATGGTCAAAATTTTGAATAATTACAACTCTCATAAAATGTGATTTAAGAGTCCGATTGTCTTCAAATTTTACACATCCCAATATTTATATTAACCCAAAGTCTGGTGTTAAGATGAGCAATATCGGTCCACTCCTTCTGGTACCTCAGCCACAAAAGGTCGAAATTTGCAAAAATATATATTTTTTGCACAGAAAGAGAAGGGATAATCCGATTTTGCTCCAACTTTGCAAGTCCTTATATTTGCATCAGTGCTAGATCAGGTGTGAAAATGGACAATATCGGTCCACTCCATCAAGTACCTCCCCCACAAATGGTTAAAATTTTGAATAATTACAACTCTCATAAAATGTCAATCATATTATTAGCCTAGGTCTGGTGTTAAGATGGAGTATATCGGTCCACTTCTTCTGGTACCTCTCCCATAAATGTTCGAAATTTTAAAAAAATATATATATTTTCTGCTCAGAAAGGGAAGCAATAATCTAATTTTGAAAAACATAACACTCAAAGAAAGCGAAATAAGGATCCAACTCTCTTCAAATTTCACACATACAATAATTTTTGCTAACACCAGATCTGTTGTGAAGATGCTATATACCTGCGAACACCTTCTGGTATCTCACCTACAAAAGGACACAATTTTAAATATTATAATAAATTGCGAAGCAACTCAGCGATTCTTAACAATTGCAATATCCATCTGCTATAATTTATTTTTTTATATATATAATTATTGTTATATATTATAATATTTATATCATATTTATTTAGGTGGGATACGAAATGGACAATATTGACCGATTCTTTCAAAACCCACTCCGTAGAGGGTGAAAAGGGCTGAGGGTATACATCTGTCGACAAAACCGACCCATACTTTTTTACTTGTTTTTTCATGTTTTGAATTTGAATATGGTAATGACTTATGACAAACCATGACTATATAGGTCCACGTCGTATAGACACATATCGGCTATATTCGGTATTTTTACAATTTTAACATAATTTTTTAAGGATTTTATTTTTTGAAAATTTCCAAATTCGTTCCAAATGGTAGAGGGTGTTCAAAGTTCGGCCCGGCCGAATATACTGCTTTTTAACATAACTTGTTATTAATATAGATATGTAAATATCAGACTATAAAGCGTTTCAATTTAGTTTAAAAACTTTTGATAACGCCTAAAAGTATGCTATCAAAAACACTAAAATAAATATGGAAGACGACAAAATTTACATATGACACATGAGGTCCAAACTATCCTTAACAGGTTGAAGTGTAAAATTGTCAATTACCCTTCGGAAACTGGGTTTGATAGTAGTTTGAAAATTTAGAGAAAGCTCAACTCTTACCAAATAATAAAGGAATTACCTAGCATTTTCACATTCCGACCTTCCCAATACTATCATATCAACATTTAATCACATATGAAGATGAACCAAGGGTTTGCCAGGTTAGTCCCTAAAATGAATAAAAGTTTAGACGTCTAGAAACCAACCGTTTCATATCTTCTACAAAAAACAAATCAATTTATTTAAAATTAATTTGAAAAAAAAAAGGCCTGAGACAATATATTTCAAAAAAAATCTTTACATATTGCAAAGGCGAAGAGAAAACTAGAAATTATTTTAAAATAGGTTTAACAATTTGAAAAAAAAAATACATTGTCATCATCTCCATGACCGGCGTAATGATCCATTCGTCATCAGTTTCCAAGTTTCCACTTAGAAGATGCCGTGTTGGGTATTGTGGTAGACTTGACCATTGGTATCGATGACACCATCAGTGTGAACAACATGGCCGGTACCGTAGCTGAAAGAGCACAAAAAAACAAGAAATAAGTAAATAAAAGCGGGAAATATCAACAGCAAAAGAAAATAAACAATTCCAAATAATTTGCCAATTTTTTGTGTGTCAAAAGCGAAAAAAACTTTAAAAAATAAGATTTATTTTTTGCAAATCATACTCACGTTGGCAAGACCTTTGTTTACTTACCCAGCTTCGTTGCCGTGATGGTTGACGGTGTGAGTGCTGAAATAAGCTGGACCACCATCGGATGACACCGACGACGATGACGAGGATGATGAAACATAGGTTTGTCTGCGCAAACGTCTCAAATAATGAGCGGTCTAGATAATTCGTCAAAAAAGAAGAGAAAAACAAACGAAATATAAATTAAAATAAACGCAAATAAATTTAACAAGGTAATGTTTATTTTTATTGTTAGTAATAAAGTGAGGCAATGTGTGGCAATAAACAATAAAAATGATGGACGGGGGTACATTTTACATCGATGACATAGTTTTAAATGTGGAGGAGGTAGACGTTTTCTTTTTCGACACACGTATTCAAACAATTTAACATTAATTGGGTTACTCTAAAAAATTTGGAACAACTGAATTATGAGGCAATAATGTCGATTCATCCATACTTTGCTTCATAGACATACGGCAGATAATATAAAAATGTGATCTAATACAGAACCTGCAAGAATCTACCAGTTTTGCAATTTTTTTTTTCGAAGGGAGCATCCGATTTGATCCAAACTTGATACATGGTAATATTATTTCCAAACTTATATCGAGTTCGGAGATGGCCAAAATCGGCCCACTCCTTCTGGTACCTCCGACTACTAAAACAAAATCTAATGTGAAGATGGAATATATATGACCACTCCTTCTGGTACCTCCCCCACAAAGGGTGCAAATTTTAAATAATCATTTGGAACGAATATGGAAATTTTCAACAAAAATAAAATCCGTTAAAAATTCTGTTTAAATCTTAAATATACCGAATATAGCCGTTATATTGGGGTCTATACGAAGACGTGGATCTTTTGTAATAAGCCATTATAATATTTAAATATGAATCTTGAAAAAAATCCGATGAAGGATGCAGCTAAAATCATCAAAAAAACGAATATAGGGAGTTACCCTTACATTGGAGCTATACAAAGACCTGGATCTGCATAGGCAATTTTTAGTCACAGGCTGTAGTACCTATTAGAAACTGCAAATACGAAATTTCAAACAATTTCGGTGAATATTGTACCTAAAATCAAAATACCGAATATAGGGAGGTACTGATATATGGGACCTATACGAAATCCTGGACCTGGACCTGGCTGTAGTACTCATTACGAATACTAAATACGAAAATTTCAAACAACTCTGATGAATAATGGCCCTGAAATCGTCAAAATATCGAATATATGTATGTATATATGTACACTATGGGCATATGTAGACATTTCTCTTCCAGGGGGTAAAGTGCTTAGAAAGAACTCCTCTTGTGGATTTTCAGAAAATTTCATTGGCAAATTTGGCTACAATCATCAAAACTCGGAAGAGCCCTGTTCGTCCGTCCATCCGTCCGTCTGTTCGTCTATTGTAGCCACGCTAGAGTCAAAATGAATAAAGATAGGAAGCTAAAATTTTGCACAGATCAGTCTTTTGTCTGCACGCAGGTCAAGTTCGAAGATGGACAATATCGGTCCACTCCATCAAGTAACCCCCACAAAATGTCAAAATTTTGAATGATTATAACGTGATGTAAGAATCCGACTGTCTTCAAATTACACACATCAACCCACGTTCCACGAATATGGAATACATCGGTCCACTCTTTCTGGTGCCTACCTCTCAAAAAGTCAAAATTTTGAATATCCATGAAGCTGATAAAACGTGACATTCAATTCCTTTCAGAGTTGGTACATTCCAACACTTCCATCTACACTAAATCCGTTATAAAGACGGTAGAGATCGGATCTCTCCTTCTGGTACCTCCCCCATAAAGGGTCCAAATTTTGAGTATCCATGAAGCTCATAAAATGTGAAATTAACATCCGATTTCATTCAGACTTGGTACATCATAATATTTCCATCAACACAAGATCCGTTAGAGAGATACTGCAGATCGGACCATTTCTTTTGGTATCTCCTTCACATAGGGTTCACGATTTTTAAAAAACAAAACGCTCAAAGATATACCTCAGATTTAGCTATCAGCCAGCCAACTATCAAAGCCAGCCATCAATAAAAACATTCCCACAAAAGCTATAGTTCATTTCATCACAAGGATCGGGCTACCGGTATTTTATTTAGAAATTAACATAAGTGTCCGCTTTTTTTTATGTGGGGGAAATTACTACAATTTCGATTTTCGGGATTTTACTTTTTTCTTAAATTCCCTATTAAATTAGATACATATGTTTAATATCCATATAGAAGTTGAAGGTTCAAAAGTATTTAAAAGAATTTACCATATTGGATTCCAATTAGCTATATAGCTGATATAAAACAATACTTTTTAACACAATTTGATTTCCCCTTAAAAAATGTTTCTTCAAGCAATTTGACACCACAGACTGAAAACTAATTAAAACCACAAATTAAGCTTTATAAATGACTTCACATTTTCAAATGCCTTGCAAGTAATTGTGAAATACGGTACACAAAAAAAAAACTTTTTGACAGAAAAGCCTCTTGTTATTGTGTTTTCAAGTGTCATTTTGAAGTTATTTTGGTTTTCTTTGCATACCCTTAGGCGGCCAATTTAAATGACTATGGATGCTACCTGAAATGGGTTAATTATTCATAAGTGGCACAAACACTTGACCAGTAGAATTTTACAATTGATGAAATGAAGAAGTCAATTGTCATCAATATCAGGTCTTTGCTGCCTAGTGACAAAAGTTAGAGTGTGGGAGTTGAATATATTCAATCAATATTCCTTTATAAGAAATTTTTAAGAAATTAGGAAATTTTTTAAGATTTTTTCTTACAATCATTGTAATAATTCCCAACGATAAGACATCTAATTTTCCTAAAAGAAGACTGGTCATCAAAGCTTAACCTATACAGTATTCCGACTGCAATGTAAGACAACCTATCCATATTAGATAAGGAAAAGAACAATCAACTTTTCAGAATTTTTTTTGACTTCAACTGTCTTATATTTTCCATTTCGCATTGGACCTTAATAAATTTGCTATAAATATTGCGACGAGCCAGGTTTGGACTATATTGGTTGCATTCTTCACTTTATATGAGATATGTGATAATTTGTTGAAGATGCGCGTGAGTTACCAGATATAGTCGACTGAAGTATTTCACTTTCATACTTCATCGAATACAGATAAAAATATTGGTATGGGATAAAATTACAAGGAAATCGAACAATTATATCCAATTTTATGCGAAACCATCAATTCCATATTCATCTCAGGTCTCTGGCTGAGATAATATGAAATTTGAAATATAATATGAAAATGTTAGAATGGGTGAAATATGAAAAGAGTTGGATGCTTATTTCACTTTCTTCGAGCGTTTTGTTTTTTCCAAAAACTTAAACCCTATGTGCAGAGGTACCAAAAGAAATGGTCCGATCTTTACCATCTTTATTACAGGTCTTGTGTTGATTGAAACATTGAGATGTGTCAAGTCTAATTAGAATCGGATGTTAATTTCGAGTTTAATGATCTTCATGGATTTTCAAAATTTTTACCCATTGTGGGAGAGGTACCAGAAGGAGTGGACCGATATATTCAATCTTTACAGTAGTTCTTGTGTTAATAAAAATATTGCGATGTATGTAATTTGGAGATAATCGGACTCTTACATCACATTTTGTAAGAGTTATAATTATTCAAAATTTCGAACCTTTGTGTGGGAGATACTAGAAGGAGTGGACCGATATATTCCATCTTCACAGCAAATCTTGTGTTGGTAGAAATACTGAGATGTGTGAAATATGAAGGGAACCGAATGCTTATTTCAGATTTTATAATCGCTTTGAGTTATCCAAAGCTTTGACTCTTTGTGGGGGAGGTACCAGAGGGGCAAAGCTTCACAGCAGATTTTGTGTTAATAAAAATAGTGCGATAAGTGTAATTTTAAGATAATCGGTCTCTTACATCACATTTTATAGGAGTTATAATTATTCAAAATTTTGACCCTTTGTGTGGGAGGTACCAGAAGGAGTGGGCCAATATATCCCATCTTCAGAGCAGATATTGTGTTAGTATAAATAATAGAATGTGTGAAATATGAAGAGAGCCGGACGTTTATTTCGGATTTTGTAATCATTTTGGTTGTTCAAAACTTGACCCTTTGTGGGGGAGGTACCAGAAGGAATCGTCGGTACTCTACCGTTTTTTATAACAGATCCTGTGTTGATAGAAATATTCAGATGTGCCAAGTCTAAATGGAATCGGATGTTTATTTCACGTTTTATGAGCTACATGGATATTTAAAATGTTGACCCTTTGTGGGGAGGTTCCAGAAGGAGTGGACCGATATATTCCATCTTACCTCCAGACCATGGGTTAAAAGAAATATTGGGATGTGTGAAATTTGAAGATAATCGGACTCTTCTTTTGAAGATAATCGGACGCAAATATTTGGATTTGGAACGTTAGAGCAATATCGGTTTGTCCTTTCTCTTTCTTGCAGTAAATTATTTTCTTTGAAACAATTGACATTTTGTGGGGGTCTTACCAGAAGGAGTACACCGATATTATCCATCTCCGAAATCGATCTAATCTTTATAAAAATATTACGATGCACCAAGTTTTAATCAAATCGAATGCTCCCTTCGAGAGTTATCGTGCGCATCAACCAGCCAGACAGACGATGGACGGACGGACACCTCTAGATCGACTCCAAATGCCCTAAAACGAATTTGGTTCAAAGAGACCTATGATCAAAAACCACTATTTCGATGAGGCACGTTTAGGACATATATCAAATGAAATACCCTCTGTAGCCATATAGCTGAGGGTATACAGAGTCTGTACCAATCTCCCCTAACGATTAATTTTCAATTACCACAGTTTTATTTTCTTGGGCATTGATAATCTCCAGTAATTAAAAAAATACTTTTTAATGTTAATGAACTTACATGTGGATTAATGGGATGCACTTGAGATTTATGGCCCTCAGCGTCCAAGGTATAAAAGGCTTTGGGTATGAAATGGGCAGAATCTATAAAAAAAATAATAAAAAATAAATAAATAGAAAAATCAGTCATTGCCCCCTTTTTCGTTGGCAATGTATTCCAGGAAGTTGTTAAGACTCCATGACCAGTGATTAGATGAAGGTTGTGTATATTTTTAGAATAATAATAGCTTATTCATTATTTCAAAACATTTTTGATTCTCTTCTTAACGTTATTTTCCCATCTGGTTTTTGCGTTTTGTTAAATGCCTTTTGTTGTTCTGAGATGACGTAATTCTTTAGAATATTTACAAATTATTTTTAATTAAATATTTAAATATTGAAGGTGATAATGGAGACACGACAACAAACAGCAAAAACAACAAATGATGCCTTTCAACAACAACTAATCACTGGTCCATGGAAGATGACTCAGTCATTCATACCAGCATCAGCAGAAACAGCCAACAAAACGGCCAACAGACACAGGGCGCTCAAAATGAATTTCATTTTTGTTTTTAACACTGGAAGTTCTCTATTTAACCTATAAGAAAAAATGACAACAACAGCGGAATTTTACTTTACACGTCACACAAAAAATAAATTCCAAAAAAAAAGAAATCACAAAATTCTTTAGAATTTTCACGCCTTTCCAATGAAAACGAAAGACTTAAGACACGAACTTTATTCTGTGGTCTAACCACAGCGAGCAACGAACTTACACTGACAACCGGCAAATGTAAACTAAACCTCATCAATGGTGGCCAAGAATTTTTATACACTTCCAAGTTGAAGTTGATGGCTGTTCGCAAGAAACAAAAACAAAACGAAAAAACAAACGTTCGGAGAAACAAACAAAACGGCAAACAAAAACACGAATAAAAGTCTAGTTGAAAGAAAAGAAAAAAAAAACAGCAACACAAAAAATAACTGAAGATCTGGCCTTTAGTTCTACGCCAGTAATTTGTTTAGCATTGACGTGTTTGTTTGTGTGGCAAAACCGACAAAACGACAGACAAACAAACAAATGGGGGACCCATGCAAATACTAAACCAAAAAAATCCTCTCTATTAAAGAATCTATTGTTTTGTGGAGAGTTAAAACTTTTTGCAAAATTTAAAAAAAACTTAAAATTTTTTTCCCGTGGTTATCTGGTTATCTCCAAAACCAAAAATAAAAAAAAAACGATCAACAGAAAAAAATCCCAAAACCGGTTTGGAGAAATTAAGCCATCCATTATGACCATTCATTCAAATAGAGCAACGAAGATGTCGTTCACACCAAAATTTCCAACGCCAGAAAGAAGAAAGTCCGAATGTGACCTGCAATTTTTGAACAGTTTGAACCACTGCCACTTGTGCGTTGGCCTTTCTCTCACTTTCAGAGAGATTTCAGAGATCTGAAACAATTCTCTTTACATATTTGATTTATACAAAAAAGACAAGACAATTTCTTTCAATGATTTATGATTAATCATTTTTGGATTAATTAACCGTAGAAGAAAGACAATTTTGCAAAAAAAAAAATAAAATTATAAAAATAATTAAAAAGTTTAAAATAACTAATGAGGCAATGTTTGAATCAATCGGAAAGTTTGGAATGATTTATGGTTAAGATATAAAAAAGAGTGACAATTTAAATCAAAAAGAGTCGGAAGTAGCTTACAATATCTATACAGATTTAAAAAGAACAAGAAAAATGGTATCAGTCGGATTTGCCGGCAGATGTATATCCCCAGCCTGGAGTTATGATTATTCAAACAGTTGACTCTTCCCAAGCAGTTAGCCAATATTGACCGATTCCTATTTGACCCAAGACTGATAAAATGTATTACAACGCGTCATATTTGGACTTTATCGAAACGGATTTCGTCCAAAGAGACCTAGGGTCTAAAGGCACGTTTTGGCCGTATTAAATGATTTTTACGCTCTGTAGCCATATGGCTGAGGTTATAATTAGTACCATTTAGTACTTTTCGAACAAATATAATACGCATTTCCAAAAGCACCTCATATCTCAATTCCACACACCAACAGATACCTCAAATATAACCTCAATGTGGACTTTGATGATTCTCACCCAATAACCTCACCCAATACCAAGTCTAATACTTTTTGTACAAATATAGGACGCATTTCCGAACCACTGCCAAATTTCAAACACAAATACCATCAGTAATTTAATATCAAATTTCAGACTTTTACCTTTATCTCTTCAGCCAAAATCAAACATAATTTCATTCAGTACATTTCGTACAATTATAGTACACATTTCTGAAAACACCTCCATATGTCCAGGCTACACATGAACATGAATGACCCTAATATTAAATTTCAGAGTTCAAATTGTACCAAATTTTGTACCTTTTAGTACACATAAGTACGAGTTTCCAAAGCTTCCAAAACTGCCACTGCCAATTCCAAAAATTCAAATTTAGTACATTTTTGTACATATAAGTACAAATATCTAAAACTAAATCTATATCATAATCCTTATCCTAATCATACTCTCCGACAGTAATTTTATTACGAAATTTCAGGATTCCAGTTCAATCGGTTCACCAAATCAAAATTGTACCAAATTTAGAACATTTTCGTATATAGGTACAAATATCCAAAATACCTCTATATCCCAATCCTACACTGCTACACTACAATCAATTTCAGTATGCCAGCTCTATTTATTCACCCAAATCCAATTTGTATCAAATTTAGTACCATTTAATACACTTAAGTACAAGTTTCCAAAACCTATTTCCGAATTTCAGCATTCCAGCTCTATCGGTTTAACCAAACCGAAATTGTATCAAATTTAGTAGCATTTAGTACTTCTCGTACATATTAATAATAATTTCGAAAACTACCTCCATATCCCGATAGGACACTTTACCGTTCCTCCAAATTCGAATTGTTCCAAATTGAGTATCGTTTAGTACTTTTCGTGAACGTATACGTAGAAGAACACTTTTCCAAAACTAACTCTTTACATCGACCCTACTCCTCGGCCTTGATTCCCATTCCAAATGTCAAGTTTTTAACTCTGACCGTTCAGTGATATGAAATTACACATTAGTACATGTTAGTGTAGTTTGTATTCTTTAGTGCAAATTTCAAGTGGCTCTCATTCCAAATTTAATAGTTCTAGCTCTACTAGTTCATCAAATTCAAAAGGTCCCATATTTAGTACATTTTAGTACTTTTTGTAACTTTTTAGCACGAATTTCCAAAAACCCAGCTTTATTACACGCCTACGCACCAAGATTCTATCTTTCGCTTCATTTACCCACTTTTTATACCCTCCATATATACTCGTACCCTCCACCATACATAATGACGAGTATGTATGGTGGAGGGTACGAGTATGTATGAAGGGTATAAAAGTGAGTTGTAACTCATCGAAATAATAATTTTATACATAACAAAGTATATGTATTCATGATCAGCGTAAAATTCTTAGACGATTTGCCCTGTCCGTCCATCCGTTTGTTGTAATCACGCTAGAGTCAAAACGAATAAAGATAGGAAGCTAAAATATTGCACAGATCAGTCTTTTGTCTGCAGGCAGGTCAAGTTCGGGCAACATCGGTCCAAGATATCGTATAGCCCCCATATAACTGGACGGGAGGGGGGGGGGGGTACATACATATTCGGTATTTTGATTTTTTAGCCACATTTTTCAATGGAATTGTCCGAAATTCTACTTCTGAGTACTTTACCCCCTGAAAGAGAATTGTCTATAAAGGTCCGCAATATCGTATTTCCCCCATATATAGTAATAGTGACGGTTGTTTATGCAAGATTTTTTTTTTTTAATTTTTCAAGATTCCTCCAAATTTTGGAGAGTATAAAAAGTTCGGCCCGGCCGAAATTAGCTGTTTTTTACTTGTTAGCTTTATTATGATATTTTATTTTGAAAAACTTTTCTATAGCTTTTGAAAAATCACCCTATATATTCATGATCCGTACAAAATTCCATATCGATTTCTGTCTAGCCGATCGACGAAACCACTCTAGCTTCCAAACGAATGATGTGGGTTCATTGAAATTTAGTAAGATGTTTTTAAGATCCCTAGAACTTTATTGAAAATAGGCCAAACAGGTTCACGTTTTGGTATAGGTCCCATAGAACTGAACGAGTACAGGCAAATTTAAAATGTTTTGGGTGTTTTAGTCACAACTTCAAACCGAATTTTCTGTAAATTGTGAGTATGTAGGAAACATCCTTGCATATATGTCAAAGTTTTGTTATAGTCCCCATATAATTTTACCTCCCGATATTCGGTATTTTCATGATTCTAATCACATTTTTCACGGGAACTGTTTCAAATTTGGCATCTGAATGAAAATATGTACTTCATATGACAGAAAAATGCCTGTACAGATCCACGTACATATATGTTTGTATAGCCCCCATATAATGGTATTCCAACTTTCGGAATTTTGATTTTTTTTTTTGATTGATTGATTTCAGCAGCATTTTTCAGAATTATTTCAAACTTAATGGTTGAAGTTTATAATAGACATCACCAGACAATTGGCTACAGAGGTCAATATTTTCGTATAATATGCAACACCTGATGTGGATTTTTTAAAATTTAAGCGAAATTTTTCAATGTTTTTTTTTTTAATTTAGCAAGTTCCATTCACATGGTGGATGTGTATAAAAATTTGGCCCTGCCGAAATCAGCTGTTTTTTATTTGTTACTACTACCGGAAGTTACTTATCTTTGTGCATTTGTTTGAAAGATAGAGAAGGAATCGAAATAGACCCTAAGATTCCTTTAATGATCCACATAGGATCATATTCTGAGTCCATCGAGATTAAATTTTGCACAAATCATTTGTTTGGACCAAGGACTACCCCTATTGAAATTGGAGATAATCGGTCAAAATGTAAATATAGTTTCCATATAGAACTTCGTTCCCTTCATCTTTGATTTGGTATTTGGCACATACGACCAAACTGATCGGAAATAGGTTTTGATATAGCTATAGCTCTCATATGTATTGTTCTCACGTGTTGTTATTTTTGTTAATAGGCACTCCGTAAAAACGGTAACGGAGGTGAACTGACGAATTTGGGTTTCTCCGATGAAAAAACATTCGTTGTCCAGGAGTATGTAAACAAACAAAATGATCATGTTTACTTGCCGAAGAGGTCAGCTGAAAACGTGCACCTTCGGTTGGCCACAATGAGCGCACAATGGCCACCAAAATTTCTGGATATCAATCCGTTGGACTATTGTGTCTGGAGTATTTTGGAAAGCAAGGTTGGCACTAAAAACACCAAAGTGTCGATCACTTCAAACAAGCGCCGGAAATGGGCCAAAATGCCGCAGAGCAACATTCGGGCAGCGGTTTCATTGGCCGTTTGAAGGCCATAATTCGTACCAAAGGTGACCAATTCGAACAAATATAATCTTATTCTAAATAAAATTTAAAAAAAAAATGCAAAAATTATGGCTTCTGACTTTGTTGCAGTTTTTTATCTCACCCTGTATTTAAGTCCACGTTTTCCTAAAGCGCACATATCCACCGATACTCGGTATTTTGATGACCATAATCACATTTGCCCACAAAATTGTTCCAAATTTGGCATTTAAGGAGATTTGGTAGATGACTATCCAAAAAGTATGAAACTGTCTATAGAGGTTCCCGATTTGGTATGACCCTCATATAACGACATATGGTTTTTTGAAAAGTTTAACAGCATTATCCAAACGGTCTTATCCCCCATATATTAGTTCCTTTCGGCTCTAAAATAAACCCATAATATGCATTCAAAAACGATCATAGTTGGAGATTTTCTTTTCTTACTGGTATGCAATTAAAATCTAGAATATTTTGTATTATTATTATTATATATTTTTTGTCAATTATTCAACTACAACGAGTTTGAACTATTATTTACTTAATCTAATTTGACGTAATATTTCCGGTTCTATCATTAGATTTTTAAAAATAAATATCAGTCATTTTTAATCATGACTTCAGAGAGTAGTCAGTAGTGGCAAAAAACTGTGGTTTGTCGCTTTTGCGCAGCATTTCTGGTCCGTGCCCAATTTTATTTTTAAATTCTACGGGGAACTACATTTCATCAAACATTTCTGTGTATATATGTATTTTATTAAATATGGATATCATCGGGAGAATACTTAAGTGGTTTTGCGACCTTTTGGACTCTAAAAGCGGGGGAAATTCTCAAGGGTTTAGAATATGTCCTATATTCGGAAATTGTAAGACTATGACATAGGAAGAGCTCTAAGTAATTTTCCGATATTAACACATTATTTATTTAAAAATCATTTTAGAAAAATTCCACATGGAACCTTTAGGTATTCTCCTGATGCTGTAATCATTCAGTTTTTAACCAATAAAAGTCTTTTTTTCCAATATATATTGTTTACTTTTTACCAAATTTATTGCGTTCAAATTAAAAATATTGAGATGAGTTAATAACCATTAAATTATTTGAGTAATACACGTGCTATTTCCGAAACAAAAAATTGAATATTTATAGAATGGCATAAAATTTGGATAATAACCTGATTTGTATCTTTTTTTTTTTTTTTTGTAAAATGACAACAAACGGTAGCGATTTACCCCCAAAAATATATATGTCTTCTATTTTGAAATTTATCGGCAATTTCAAATTGATATCTTTGTTACAGAAACAAACAAATATCTGGCATTGAACGGAGATTAAGGGTGATCAGCGGAGAAAAACAAACAGTCTAGTTTATTGCGGAATTAACCGGTAATCAAAAATAGTTCAAAGCTAGATATTTAAGGTTTTATTACTGAAGCAAAATATGTAATACATATAACAAAAGCAATATTGGGCCTAACATACTGTATCCCAAATAAATGTAATGACAATTCTAAAAAAATCGACCAAATTAATACCAGAATATTTTGGAATATGTTTGTGGCAAGTTGTATTTACAAGGTGACATAGTAAGACTAGCTGTTGTTATACCCTCCACCATAGTATTGAGGGTATATTAAATTTGTCATTCCGTTTGTATCACCTCGAAATATACATTTTAGACCCCACAAAGTATATATATTCTTCATCAGCATAAAATTCTGGGTCGATTTAGCGATGTCTGTCCACCTGAACGTCTGTGGATATCACTCTAAAAATGAAGTAGGTTGATAAAATTTTACTCAAATGTATATTATGTCCGCAGGACTTTTGGTATTGGAAATGGACCATATAAGTCCTCGTTTTGGTATAGACCCCATATAATGGTACCTCCATATTTTCTGTGTTTTGGTGATTTAAGCGACATTATTCACCGGAATAGTTTGATTGGTATTTAAACAGACAGAATAGGAAGGTAGGCCCAGGTTTTCATATAGCCCCCATACAACGGTACCTCTCGATATTCGGTATTTTGACGATTTAAGCAACAAGAGTTGTTTCAAATTTGTATTTAGAAATGGTAATAGATTCTACATCCTGTGGCAGAATATTATATTATAGATCCACGTTTTCCCATAGTCCCTATATAACGGGACGGTACAGTATTCAGTATTTTGAAGATATGAGTCACATTAAAGATATGAGCATATTAATGAAATAAGAAAAAGGACAAAACTTCCGAAATCTACCACTTAAATGAAAACTGTTATATGGAGACTATACGAAGACCTGGACCTGCTTACGAAATTTTCTGTCATAGGCTCTAGTATTCACTTCGAACTTCAAATGCCAAATTTTGAAACAATTCCGGTAAATAATGTCGCTAAAATCATCAAAATACCGAATATAAGAAGGTACTGTTCTATTGGGGATATACGTAGACGTGGACCTGCACAGACAATTTTCTGCCATAGGTTGTAAAATCCATTACGAACTTCAAATACCAAATTTAAAACGATTCCGGTGAATAATGTCCTTATAATCATCAAAATACCAACTATCGAGAGTTACCGTTATATGGGGACTATACCAAAAAGTGTACATACATGGTCATTTGCAATACCATAAGTCCTGCAGACATAATATACATTTGAGTAAAATTTTGTCAATCTACTTCAATTTGTACGGATGCTAGAGTGATTTCCACAGACGGACAGACATCCTGGCATTACTAAATCGACATATATATACTTTGTGGGATCTAAAATGTATATTTCGAGGTTTTACAAACGGAATGACAAACTTAACCATACTATGGTGGAGGGTATAAATAGTTTGTAGCAAAGTGATACCGAAGTCGCATAAAAGTGATGACATGGCGGCTCAGAGCTCTTGCGTTCCTACAGGCTTAACGCCACAAAACGTCAGTTTGAATAATCTGGTGTCAATAAAATGAAAAATGAATTATTAATTTTGTTTGAACTTCCCAATATTTATACCAAAATAAAGCGTAAAATTCTAAGACGATTTAAATATGTCCGTCTGTGGTGATCACTATATTTTTCGTAAATGCAAACATTTTGGTCATATGCATATTATGTAATTTAAAAAGGAGTATATCGGTACACTTTTTCATATAACCTCCACAGAGATTTATATTTGATTCGAGAGGGGGCCACACGGGTATCAGCGAGCTCGGTGATTTTTTTAGGTCCTTAAGTATTTTGGAGCTTTCTCCGACGAATTGGCTTCAATTTAGTTAATCTGGTTCTTAGAAGAAGTTCATATACTTTCCAATTTTCTCTTGGAATATACTTACCAAAGACTTTTTATTTCAAAAAAAAAATATATAAACAATAAGAAAACGTTTTTTTTATTTTGTTACTTTTATTATTTATTCCATTTTGTTCTCTTAAGTAAAAAAACTCAACACAAAAAATACAAATGCTTGAAATACATTTTACATCGTTTTTGTTTAGTTTTTTGATTAATTTACATTAGATGTACTGTGGTTACTTACTATTTATATATTTATTATTATATAGAGTAGTATATATGTACTAGTTTCTTCTTAGTTTGGCTAAGGTCTAACATGATTAGATTTGAACGCAAAAATGTAAAGGAACACTGCTTACTATTTTATGTTATCGGTAAATTGTGAAAATCACAAATAAAAAATAAATCGTATAAAATATTATAACTTTTTTACAGCGACGGGTGGAGGGGATAAATAGAGGTTATATTGACCTCTTCGAAATAACATTTTTTTTTTATAATTTCTCTTTGGTACGTAGCATCGTAGATAATTTGTTACCTTCGAAGATTTGTGCTTGTCACATTATCCCATCCACCCTATTATACTTATGATTTTTAATTGGTTTTAAAATAATTTCTTTTGTAAAGGAATTAGAGGGGGGAAACCACATTTCAAAACGCATATGAAAGTCATTAAAAAAATGCCTTTTATTTTTATTTAAAAATATAATTTGGCCTTGTGAAATGTTATCCATTACACCGTTGGGTTTCCAGGCTTACATAGAGATTTTCTTGTATTTGTTCGATTTTCTTTTGATTACTTAAATTATTTTTTGTGCATAATTTCTTTGGTAAAATCACAGAAATTATTAATAAAATATTCTATTGAGTTGATATTACAATAATAACAACATGTCCATTATTGTTATTATTTGTTGCTGTTAATTTGAATACGATGATACGCATTAAATATGCATTGATATTATTCAATAGGAAATGGCATAACAGCTTTCTATGTCGCTTTTTGAACAGTAATGATTCTGAAGTTTTAGCAGTAAATTACAATTGGTTATTTCGAAAAAAACGTGAACACAACATTGAGTTCGGCAGACCTCACCATGAGAACAAGTAAAAAAGCTGCAAGTTCGGCAGGGCCGATCTTTGTATACCCTCCACCATTTGGAAAGATTTTGGCAATTTTCGAGAAAAATAAAATCCGTTAAAAATTCTGTTAAAGTCTTAAAAATACCGAATGTAGCCGTTATATTAGGGTCTATACGATGACGTAGACCTGCAAAGGCAACTTTTGTCATAAAACATTGCAATATTCAAATGCGAACTTGAATAAAAAATCGGTGAGGTGAAATTCGGGAGGTACCGTTATACGTGGACCTGTATACGAAATTTATGTAATAGGCTGTAGTGCCCATTACGAACTTCAAATACGAAATTTGTTACAATTATGGCGAATAATGTCGCAAAAATCATGAAAATACGGAGTATCGGGAGGTACCGTCATATGGAGGCTATACGAAGACGTGGACCTGCACAGACAATTTTCTGTCTTAACTTGTAGTAGCCATTAGGATCTTCCAGTATGAAATTTGAAACAATTCCGGTGAATAATGTTGCTGAAATCATCAAAATACCGAATATTGTGAGCTATCGTTATATAGGGCCTTTACAAAGAAGTGGACCTGCACAGACAATTTTCTGTCATAGGTTGTACTTTCCATTACGAACTTCAAATACCAAATTTGGAACAATTCCCGTGAACAATGTCGCTAAAATTAGCAAAGTACCGAATATCGGGAGGTACTTTCATCATCGGTTGTAGATTCCGTTCCGATTTCCGGTGAATAATGTCGCTTAAATCACCAAAATGCCGAAAAAAGGTAGGTAGGTTATGTGGGGCTATACCAAAACGTGGACCTACATCACCCATTAGCAATACGAAAAGTCCTGCAGACAATTTTATCAACCTACTTCATTTCGTTCGGAAGCTAGAGTGATTTCCACAAACGGACGGACATCGCCATAGAATTTTATGCTGATCAAGAATATATATATTTTGTGGGGTCCAAAATATATATTTCCATACTATAGCGGAGGGTATAAAAACTTACAAAAATGACGAAATGACACGTTTTCTTTACATTTTGTATTTCTAATCCCAAAGAGTGTCTTGAGGATCAGCTGCGGCAAATTGAAACCCCACCCTGTAGGAAACGTCAATGGTGAATAACTTCTCTTGATTTTGTCATCAGTACTACTGACCAAGTTTGTCTTCACTGTTTTTTTTCCTATGGATATTAGAATTACGCCCACCAGCGGCCTTTTTAAGGAGAACTGTCGCTGGGCGTAAAACTGCTTATCTACAAAAAAGTTTTTTCGTCCCATAATAACCTATTGCTTAGCCCCTTGGGCAGATATGAAATGATTAAAGGTGAGAGTACATAAGCAGCATGAAGTCTTCACGTGCCGCACTAAAATCTTGACGTCGTTTTTCCAGCATCTGCTACTCGTAACTCTACTAAAATTACGCGACGATAGAGTGCTCTCCGTGCTATTTTGTGCTATTTAGAACTAAGTTATCGGGCACATAATAACATATAGCTATGCCACTTTGACTGATATATCTTCGGCTCAAATGGAAAGATTAAGGATATGGGAAAGAAAGAACTTGACATCATGTTTAGGAATGAGGGCAACAATTGATGAAAATGGAATATAACGCCATAAAATTCAGCCGGATAGACGTCTTCATGATGAGAAATGCGCTTAACATCCTTGAAAAAAGTCACGACATGGAAAATGGGAGAGTGGAACAATTCCGGGACTAAAGAAGCAAGCATCTGCCACCCGCAATTCTACTAAAATTACACGACGATGGAGTGCTCTACGATGATGATCACTTGATGTACTATCATTACAGGTATCACCGAATCTGCCCAAACTGCGGAACTGTCTGCTTATTTGAATTGACCTATATTATACCATTTTCTCATTGCAAACCACAATCTACAACAAAGAGCTTCCGGTGAAACATCCCTACGTTCAAGGTTGGTGACCAACGAATTGGAACTTAAGATAGGATGAAATATCAGAGAATAATCCTGCACGTCAGATTCGACTTCTGCCGTCACGTGGATTATATGCTGTCAAAGGCCAAAAATATGAATTACTCAAACGAGAGACCATTGCGGATGCGAGGAGGACTGTCGCCGGATGTAAAACTGCTCATCTACAATTAAGTTATCTGGCACATAATAACATATAGTTTTGCCTCTTGGAATGACATATCTTCGGCTCAAATGGAAAGATTAAGTATATGGGAAAGAAGCATCGTGTTTAGGAATGAGGCCAACAATTGATGAAAATGGAATATACAGACAACCACGCTACAGGAACATCCATAGAATTCAGCCGGATAGACGTCTTCAAGCAAGACGTGGAAAATGGGATAGTGGAACAATTTTGGGACTACCAAGAGGAAATCCCCAACATACAAAGAAGCAAGCATCTGCCACCCGCAATTCTACTAAAATTACGTGACGAAAGAAGTGCTTTACGATCATGATCACTTGATGCACTACCATCACAGGTATCACAGAATCTATTCAAAGTGTGGAACTAGCTGCTTTATTGAATCGACCTTTATTATACCACTAATTAGAACTTTCGATAGGATTAAATATCTGGGAATCATCCTGCGCAACAGATTCGACTTCCTCCGTCACGTGGATTATATGCTGTCAAAGGCCAGAAATATGAATTACTCCTACAAGAGGCCATTTCGGATGCGAGGAGGACTGTCGCCAGATGTAAAACTGCTTATCTACAATTAAGTTATGGGGCACATAATAACATATAGCTTTGTCGCTTGGACTGATATATCTTCGGCCCAAATGGAAAGATTAAGGATATGGAAAAGAAGTTACGTGTTTAGGAATGAGGCCAACAATTGATGAAAATGGAATATACAGACAACCACGCTACAGGAACATCCATAGAATTCAGACGGATAGACGTCTTCCTGATGAGGAATACGCTTAACTTCCTTGAAAGAAGGCAATACGTGGAAAATGGGATAGTGGAACAATTTTGGGACTACCAAGAGGAAATCCCCAACATACAAAGAAGCAAGCATCTGCCACCCGCAATTCTACAAAAATTACGTGACGAAAGAAGTGCTTTACGATCATGATCACTTGATGTACTACCATCACAGAATCTATTCAAAGTGCGGAACTAGCTGCTTTATTGAATCGACCTTTATTATACCACTAATTAGAACTTTCGATAGGATTAAATATCTGGGAATCATCCTGCGCAACAGATTCGACTTCTGCCGTCACGTGGATTATATGCTGTCAAAGGCCAGAAATATGAATTACTCCTACAAGAGGCCATTTCGGATGCGAGGAGGATTGTCGCCAGATGTAAAACTGCTTATCTACAATTAAGTTATGGGGCACATAATAACATATAGCTTTGTCGCTTGGACTGATATATCTCCGGCCCAAATGGAAAGATTAAGGATATGGAAAAGAAGTTACGTGTTTAGGAATGAGGCCAACAATTGATGAGAATGAAATATACAGACGACGTCATACAGGAACATTTATAACTCCATAGAATTCAGCCGGATAGACGTCTTCATGATGAGGAATGCGCTTAACTTCCCTGAAAAAAGCCAAGGCGTTGAAAATGGGATAGTGGAAAAATTCCTGGACTACCAAGAGGAAATCCCCAACATACAAGGAAGCAATTATCTGCCACCCGCAATTCTACTGAAATTACTCGACGATGCTGATCGCTTGATGTACTATCATTACAGGTATCACAGAATCTGCCCAAACGGCGGGACTGGCTGCTTTATTGAATCGACCTATATTATACCATGTTCGCATTGGAATTGAATTGTTCGATAAAAATATTGGCATGAAGAAAGAATTGCACTTAAGTCTTATCACAGAAACATAAAAATCAACTCCTATGACAGTTTTCGATCTGAATATTTTGCAAACTGACCAATATACCTCTGGTCGGTTTGTCCACATTTAAGACACATCAATGATGGAGGAAATTGCGGGACCTCTGTAACTTTTACAAGATATAGAAACTTCTGCGTATTTCAGGAAGTGATATTTAAGAAGTGATATTTAAGATTGAATACAAATCTTTTTCGAAAGAAATTTATACTCAGCGTGTTTACTGTTCCAATCAAATGAGGTAGCACCATTCAAAACATTTTCATTTTTTTCAATTACCCACTAAAACTCAAATCATTACTGTTTACACGAAAATGTATCCCGATGACACATATTCCTATTGATCAATTTGTTCGTGTTGCGTTGGGATTTGATAGGTTTTTATTTTGACTTAAAAGGATCTTCGGTTTATTTTTGTGTGTGTGTTTTCATTCTTTCTTTGCTGGAGGATATGTTTACATAACTAAATTACTTTAGTATAATACGGTTGGATAGTATTCATAAATGCTAAATGGTAAAACAAATCCAGACATAAAACTGTAAAAAGGGGAATTGTTTGTTTAGTATTACGTTTAAAGTTTCATTAATTCCATTGATTTTTTTTTTTCATTTGATTTCGCTTTTTAGGCACAAATCTTAACTATTAAAAATACACATAAATATTTTGTTTTTTTTTTTTTCAAATCACTTGGACTTTTACCACATTTGAATGGGAATTTTATTTTATTTTTTCTTAATTTTTGTTTTATTTTTCAAAGAAATTATAGTTTAAGTACAAAAATATAATAGTTTATTTTTTCATGGAAGAAATTTGTATACTTATTTTGTAATGTTTTTCTATACGGATGTCTAGGCAAAAAATCAGAGAAATAATTAGGACCAAAGATGGGAAACATTAGTAAAACTATAAATATTTTGAAGTTACAGGAACCCAGATTTGGTTCCCGTTTTCGCTCGACATCCTCATATTTCAATTTATACATATTTGGTTTTTTTGAAAGACCATTCAGCTAATTGTCCCCATGGAAAAATTAAGAAGGTAAAGTCATATCAAATAAGCACTCCCGTCTTTGCATTTTCTGTAATTTACCTTGTCAAATTTCACTGGATAGAAAGCAGGTTCCCATCTCTGATTTGCGAATGTACAATGAATTCATGAATATTTTGACATTAGGATGTTGTCAAATGAAAAGTTTTGAAAAAATTGTAAACATATGATTGCTTGACTTGACCTTCTTAATTATACCACGATTGTCCCTAAAAGCTGCCAATATGCGACAACTTAAGGTGAAGATGCATAAATCCCTTCTTTGGCTGGCTTCTTCGTAATAGCACAACGTAGCGTAGGGTCGAAATTGAACTAAGTAAACCTACATTTTTTTCTTAAGTCAACGGCAGGCTTTTTCATCAAGGAGTAATAGAGCATAGGGTTAACAAGTGTAAATTATGGGCTGAAATTAAAATAAGCTCCCATGTTCTTTTACGAAGAAGCCTGCCGATGAAAAGACGTTTTATGTATTCTCGCCTCAATATTACCAAATTTATTTCTTATGCTACACACCTTTTATTTGTAGGTTAGGTCAATAGATTTGTTCATTTGATTTAAGATTTGCTCTGTGTAGTTTTTCTCTCGCATTATTTAGTTTCTATTCTTGGTTTTTGTGTTTTTTTTTTATAAAAAAAAAAATATTTTTTTTAAATTTCCTTAATATTATAAATCACACGCACACATTTAATATTATTTTTCTTGTTTCTTCACTAGAATCGTTTGAAGGGGTTTTCAACAAAATAAAAAGTAAACACGTTTATAAAAAAGATGTCTATTCACCGACAATTACGCACATTCATACATACATACCTTTGGTTGTTCTTTAATTATTGTTTTACTTTTTGTTTGTTTTTTGGTACTTAGCAGAAGAAAAAGACGAAGAGTTAACATACAGACAATTTGGAGATAGATGTCGAGGAAACTTAACTTTACCACACAGCACATTTCTTATCAGGATTCATTTTCGACCCGGGCTTACACTGAAACACTTCGGCAAATTCGGGCATATTCGACAGAGTGCCAATGACTCGCAGCCGTGACGGCGAATGTGTGTCTTTTTCCAGCTGAAGCATAATTGTCTCTTCAGTATCTGAGGAACACCAAACCTAGAAGGAGATTAAAATATTAACATTTATTAGCAACATTTTCATAGGCAATCCTTATTATCTTTTCTTAATGTTTGTAAATTTAATAAATAAATTTCAGAATTCTGGCTCTAGTAGCACAATATTTAAAATCTCACAAAAAACACCACTGTATCTGCGAGCAGTTTGGCTTCAGTAGTGACCAACATGCTAAATTTGAAGATTTTATTCCCAAAAGTATAGAACATTAAGAAACATTTTTTAGTAACCCATTATCCCACAATCGTTACAGAGTCATATACAAGGTAGGACAAGTTGACCTCAGTCTTGTAACTTCAAAATGTCTAATACAAAAGCAAAAATGTAGTTTCTTTTTCTAACACTTCAAATTCAAAATGTTTTTTTTTTTTTTAATTTTAGAGAAAATCGCGGAAAATATCTGAAACGTCAAGGAGGTTTCGCACTATCGAACCAAGCAAATTATCCTGCCCATAATAACCTATTCCTATTCGGCTCAAATGGAAAGAAAACGGATGTGGGAAAGAAATGAGGCCAACAATTGATGACAATGGAATTTACAGACGACCGCCCAATAGCAATATCTATAACTCCATAGAACTCAGCCGGTTCGACTTCTTCATGATGAGAAATGCAATCAATCCTCAAAAATTAAGATTCTGATGTAAGAAGACTTCGTGAAGATATTTGTAAATTGAATTTTCTTCAGCACACCAAATTGAAAAGGTTAGTTACACAAATTCGGTTTTGCTAAAGCCCAATGATCAATACCATATGAAACGATCAAGATTGTGTGAATCTTCTGAATGTCCACCGGATTCTCAAAAAAACGATTTTCTCTGCTTGGAGGTATTGATATTCTCTTTGAACCATCCGTACCAAGAGATCAAGCATCTCTGGTCTATTCCACTAATGAAACCACTACCAATCGAAATACCAACATCTCACCCAAATGTCAAACAAGCCGTAAAAAGTCTGTCCCCCAATGTTTATACCCTCCACTTTAGTATGGAGGGTATATTAAGTTAGTCATTCCGTTTGTAACACCTCGAAATATACATTTTAGACCCCACAAATTTAGCGATATCCGTCCGTCTTTGGAAATCACTCTAGCTTTTGAACGAAATGAAGTAGGTTGATGAAATTTTACTCAAATGTATACTATGTCTGCAGGACTTTTGGTATTGAAAATGTTACACGTTTTGGTATATCCCCCATATAATGTTTCCTCCCTAGTTTCGGTATTTTATATGAGTTTAGCGACATTATTCACCGGAATTGTTTGAAATTTTGTGTTTGAAGTTCGTAATGCCTAAGACAGAAAATTGTCTGTGCAGGTCCATGTCTTCGTATAGCCTCCCATATAATGTTACCTCCCTAGTTTCGGTATTTTGGTGATTTAAGCGACATTATTCACCGAAAAATTTGATATTTAAAGTTCGTAATGTATAGTACAGCCTATGACAGAAGATTGTCTGTGCAGGTCCACGTCTTCTTATAGCCCCCATATAACGGTACCTCCCCATATTCAGTATTTTGATGATTTTACTAATGGATACTACAGTCTATGACAGAAAATTGTCTGTGCAGATTCACGTCTTCGTAAAGCCCCCATGTAGCGGTACCTCCCGATATTTGGTGTTTTGATAATTTTAGTAATGGATACTACAGCCTATGACAGAAAATTGTCTGTGCAGGTGCATGTTTTGGTATAGCCCCCATATAATAGTACCTCCCTATATTCGGTATTTTGATGATGCAGGTCCACGTCGTCTTATAGACCCTAATATAACGGCTACATTCGGTATTTTTAAGATTGTAACAGCATTTTTAACGGATTTTATTTTTTTTTTTGAAAATTGGCAAATTCGTTCCGAATGGTGGAGGGTATTCAAAGTTCGGCCCGGCCGAATTTACAACTTTTTTACTTGTTAATTTTTATAAAATATGTTAAGATTTTCTTTGTTGAATATATGAAAATTACTAAATAGTTCCTCGAAGCCGGATAAAAGATTAAAAAAAATATACTCTTAACAACTGACTCACTGGATCCAATGCCTCCATATGACCCCTCATTGACTGCTGACCCTCATGGACCACTGACTCAGTGGTTCCAATGTCTCTATATGACCCCTCATGGACTACTGAATTAATAGTAACATTGTCACTAGTGGTTTTCGAATGACAAGCTCATACAAAATGTCTATAGGAAAAAAGCATTGATTGCCTACACTTGGTCAGTAGCACTGGTGACAAAGTCAACAGTAAGTCAGTAGTTATTTACCATTGGAGTTTCCTACAGGGTAGATTAAGCAATTGTCCTATACATCGTTAAGGGAAGTGGACAACAGTATAGGAGGCCGGTGATTCAGAGTGGTGGATTGAATGATAGTCTGGCAGATGAGTCCAGAGCCCTTCGGTAACTCATATATATCTATATATTTAAATCCTTGTGTTATTCAAGTCCTTGTATTCTTCGTTTTTTAACCCCTTGAGGTGTCTAAAGCCCTTTGGCTTCTTCGTTATTTACCCTTTAAAGTTTTAAAGAAATTGAGTTCCTCGTTATCCAAATCCTTGAGATGTCTAAAGCCCTTGGGTTCTCTTTCCGCGACCACAGGTGTAAACAATGGCCAGGAAACCAAGGACTTCTGGTGTACTTACGCATATCCTGCATATGCTGTTATCTGCACATTAAGACAGTTCAGACAATCTACAATCGCCCGGACCTCGGCTTGAAGGATCGTATTATGATCGGGCAATCGGAAAAAGATTACGGTATATGGTTCTTCATTAAAAAAGTCCCAGTCCCGCTCTCCCCCTAGTACTGAGCGGTCTGTATAACAACTGTTTTCAGTCGGCATTTGTGATAGAAATCCGTCGATCGACGAGTCTTCGGTGGGAATTAATGTTTCACATGAGGGAGCTACAAATGTTTCAGGTATTCGGTCCGATACAAAGTTTTCTACTGGTTCTCCCGTTGTTACCTATAAAACTTTTTGATGGTATGTCACGCGGCGATGGCCACTTCATACCTTATCTGAATATCTATTGGGTGTATATATAAATTTATCCCTAAAACCCTAGTTGTTGCTGTCCTCATTGCACCGCAGATTCGATGGACTTGCTATAATATTTTCCTATTACATTGTTTATCCATAGCTGTCCACCAGACTACTGACACGTATGTTAGGATAGGTCTAGTTACACTTTTGAATTTTGTACTATCTTTACAATGTTTTCCAGACAACAAACATTTTTTTACAATTTTCCGGTTCTTCTTGGACATAGCATTTTTCTCAGAGCGAATGTAACATCTCCCTTGCACTAAAATGGCTGCAACTCTGACATCAATAAACATACAGAGATATAAACCTTGTTATTGACATCACCTTTCATATGAAGATTGCGGACACAAAATCGGTTCACGCATTCCAGCGAACATTAATGACTAACACAAAGCTACTTATTTTTATATATGTAGATAAGATTTTTCCCCAACTACTTACCCTTGCAAATGAAACGAAAAATAATTGCTTATGTGTCAAATTCAAACCCGGCAGTTTAAGGACATCCGCCTCCTTGTCCATGGATGTCTTGAGGAACGCATGGTAGGCAGCCTTAAGGCCACCATTATCGGCAATATTTTCACCCAACGTTTGTTTCCCATTTAAATGGCGACCGGATATGGCATACGATCCATATTGTTTCTCAATACATTCGGTTTTCTCATTGAAGCGATCGATACTCTTGTTGTCCCACCAACGATTAATGTTGCCATACTTGTCGAACTCTCGACCTTGATCGTCAAAAGCATGGGTTAGCTCGTGGCCCATTACCACACCCATTGCGCCGAAATTCAAACTTTTCGGATGATGTCTATCGAAGAAAGGCGATTGCAGGATGCCGGCAGGAAAGACGATTTGATTTTTCGATGGCGTATAATAGGCATTCACCATATGCGGAACCATGCCCCAATTTGTTTTATTCACAGGTTGGTCCAGTTTTTCAAGGTTCTTCTTCAAATTGAAAATGTTCGATTGTATGTTGTTCTCAAAATAGGCATCTGCTGTGACATTCAAATCGGCGTATTTTTTATCCAGCTCTGCCTGGTTAAGTATGTAATCCGGGAAGCCAATCATATCGGATATGGCATCGGCCTTTTCTATGGCTCTTGCTCTGGTTCGGTTGTCCATCCATGAGAGATTTTCAATGCTGACTTTAAAGGCTTCACGGATTTCATTGATCATTTGTTCGGCTTCGGGTTTGGAATCGCCGTGGAAGGCTTGGCGCACAAATATGGCACCGACAGCAAAGCCCACGACATTGCCGGTATCGGCAACACAAAAACGCCAAACTTCCTCACCACCATCGGAGCCCATCAAGGCTTTGCGCACACCCTTGTAAGCATCGCGGAATGATCGCGATAGGCAGGGGGTGAGAACGCGCACAGCCTGCCACACCAGATAATTGTTGAGGGTGCTAAAAGGTAGAAGAGTTTATGGAGTAGCACTTTTTTATATTTCGATTACTTTACTTACTTTCTGCCCTCCACGGTTTTTTCCATCTCTGCAATAATCACTGCAAGCTTTTTCAAAAATTCCGGAGCATAGACAACAACCACCTCCCGCTGAGTGACCCTTCTACCCACCAACTCCATGGCATGATCTAAATGTTCGGTCCAATTTATGAACGGCGCCAATTTATCCAATTCCGACAATTTCATGGGATGATACATGGCCTCCTCATTTCGCCTCTCCTCCAGCGGTATGGTGATATTTGCAATTTTTGTTTCAAAATCCATAACCTCTTGCATTTGGCGCCGGGCATCGGTCTCATTGGCGCCCAACAGCACGCATACTTTGGTCATATACTCAATGTACTCCTTGAGAACTTTGCGATGTATTTCGGTGCGATTTTCATAATACTCCGGTGTTGGCAGTGTCAAACCGCCCTGATCGATTTGTATTATGTGGCGCGTAGAGTTCTTGTCATCCTCGCCAATGGCCCAGCCAAAGAGGCAATTAATGTTATATCTAAAAGTATTCAAAATTAAAAGAGAAATGTTTTGAAATTTTTTCAAAATCGCACCTATTTTGCAGAGTTTTCAAGGTTTTCGCCAATGACCATTGACCCATATTGAAGCCTGTGTGTGAAACATTCCAACCACCAATTTTCCATAGAAACGAAACCATGGGTTTGGCGCCCAACTTCTCCAACTGATCGTTGCGATCCAAACAGGATTCATAGTAGATTTTGGCCTTCTTCTCGGCTTCGGAGGTAAACGATTTCATGGGCCTCTCCAGTATATTCTTAATAATCAACTGATTACGTTGTTCTATGTTGCTGAAGGTACCCCAGGAACTCTTGCCATCTGGTATGGGATTGTTTTTAACCCATTGATTGCTGGAAATAAATAAAAATTAACCTTAAATGTCTGTTTTATGATCAATCGATCTCCTAACCCACCATGCATAGCCATAGAAATCATCACAGGGATTGACACTTCGGTCTATGGAATTTAGTATGTCATTCGAGGCAAATATACAATGCTCATTGAGGCATGGCATCTCAGGATCTGTAATAAAAGGATTGTGGTTAATATTTTGGAAAGTTCTTAAGAAGGTTGTTTTTACCTTTGTGTGGCTCCACATGCAGAATACGTGTGGTTTTCTCTGCCTCTCTTTGGAAAATAACTATCAGCAGGGTGATTATAATGAAGGATAAAACTATTGTTGTTGCCATAAGCCATTTTTCAACACGGTTCCTTGAACGCCAGTTTAATGTTGCCTAGGAGAGATAGGAATCGAAATGGTATAAAAAAATATTTTAGGAATAATTTCCAAGCCAAATGACAGAAGAATTATTTTTATACCCTCCATCATTCTATGGAGGGTATATTAGCTTCATTTCTCGAGATATTCATAATAGACCCTACAGAGTATAGATAATCTGGATCAGCATAAAATTCTACGACAAGCTAGCGATGTCCGTCTGTCCGTTGTAATCTTTCGAAGGAATTGAGATAGAAGGCTAAAATTTTGCATACATGCATATTTTCCTAGTAAGGCCATAAAGATAAATGGGCCATATCGATCCACGTTTTCGTATAGACCCGATATATTGGTACTTCCCGATAGTCGGTATTTTTATGATTTCAGAAACATTATTCACCGAAATTGTTTCAAATTTCAAATTGGAAGATCTTAATGTGTACTACAACCTATGGCAAAAAATTCGTATGCAGGTTCACGTCTTCGTATAGCGCCCATATAGCTGTACCTTCTGATACTCGGTATTTTCATGATTTTTGCCATATTTTTCAGCGGAATTATAACAAATTTCGTATGCAGGTGCACCTCTAAGAAGCCCGTGACATGTGACAAAGCTAATATACCCCCATAGAATGGTGGAAGGTATAAAAAATTGCAGCGAATTCAAAAAAAATTCCAAATGTGTCGAAAATAAATATATATAATTTGATAAGGCCAAAATGTGCCTATTCCTCTTTGGACCAAATCCGTTTCAGGAATTTGGAGTCGATCTAGAGGTGTCCGTCCGTCTGTCTGGCCGGCTGGTGAGCACGATAACTCTCGAAGGGAGTATCCGATTTGTTCCAAACTTGGTACATCGTAATATTGCTATTAAACTTAGATCGAGTTCGGAGATGGGCAATATCGGTCCACTCCTTTCTGTACCTCCTCTTTCAAAAAAATATTTTACTGCATAGAAAGTGAAAGGATGATCCAATTTTGCTCCAACCTTCCTAATCCTAATATTTGAATCAGTTCTAGATCAGGTCGGGACAAAATGGACAATATCGGTTCCCTCCATCAAGTACCTCCTCTGCAAAGGGTCGAATTTTTGAATAATAATACCTCTTACAAAAAGTGATGTAAGAGTTCTATTGTCTTCAAATTACACACATCTCCATATTTTTATTAACCCAAGATCTGGTGTAGTTATGGAATATATGGATCCACTCCTCCTGGTACCTCCCCCACAAAGGGTCAAAATTTTGAGTATCCATGAAACTCATGAAACTGTAAATTAAGATCCGATTCCATTCCACTTGGTACATCTCAATATTTTTATCAACACAAGAATTGTTATAAAGATGGCAGAGATCGAACCATTGCTTCTGGTACCTCCCCCACAACGGGTCAAAGTTTTGAATAACCAAATCGATTATAAAATCCGAAGAAGACATATGGTTCTCTTCATATTTCACACATCGCCTTATTTCTACTAACACAAGATCTGCTGTAAATATGGACCATTTCTTTGGTATTTCTAACACAAGATCTGTTGTGAAGATGATATATATCTGCTAACCCCTTCTGGTACCTCAACCACAACAAGAAACCTGAGTTGAATATGATAAAATTTTCTTGTAATTTTGCCCATATCAATTTTTTCTGTTTAAGATGAAGCATGAAAATGGAATACTTCGGTCAACTATATCCAACACCTAGCGCACTTTTTAATATTTTCTAAAAAAAGTTATCACATAACTCATATAAAGTAAAGGAAATAACCAATATAGACTAAACCTGGCACGTCGTAATATTTATATCACATTTATTAAGGCCCGATATGAAATGGACAATATCGGAACCTACTCCATAGAGAGTCAACAATTTCAATAATCATAAGAGAAGTCAAAATATATTTAAATAATCGAACACTGGCTGAGGGTATACGTCTGTCGACAAAACCGACTGATACTTCTTAACTTGTTATAAACTAAAGTTGATCGCTACACTAATTGATATAGCCCCCATATAACGATACCTCCCGATTTTCGGTATTTTGGCATTTGGGGTTCTCGGTAGGTATGTTATCTTTTTGCAAAAAAGATCTTCTCTATTAAGATCTTCCAGAAAAACAAATCTTTTACCCTACAGAAAGGGGATAGAATAGACCTTGCTTCAATTGTTTATTAATTTCATTGTCTGCTCAAATGGCATTCGTATGTATCACCACCTGCATTTGCATGCTTTGCTAATAATTTATTGTGATTGAATTAGTGCAACAATAAACTAATTATACAATGGCAAAATGTCATTGCAATGAATGAAAGAAGCAATCATTAGAATAGTAGCAACAAAATTGTACAAAGGTACCTCGGTTTTACATTTGCTGCAGAGGACAGTCAACCAATGCAATATTTATGCCGTTCATATGGATTTTTTATAGGTTAGGCAAATTATACAATCAACTCAAGGTAACTTCATTTAAAAAACTAAAATCCATCTCTGCATTTTTCTGTAATTTACCTCCCCAAATTTTAATTCATTGAAAATTGGTTTAGAGACCTAATTAGGGCATTTTTTTTTAAATTAACAAGGAGTAGTTTACCAAAATTTAAGAGGAGGATATTGACAAACTTTGGTTGACAAACTTTTGGCGCTACGTGCAACACACCCGAATCTATATAAAGAAGAAAGTTTACATCGCAAAATAAACAAAATAGAGGGGGCATGCGCGCCTCGCGTTTTATGAGCTTCATGGATATTTATAATTTCGTTCTATAAAATATTTACGAGTATTGTCCTTTAAGGTCCTTTCAAGTCCTTTAATAATCTTTAAAATATCAAGGTTTTTTAATTCATCCAAGTGTATTCTCCTTCTGCTGTCTTTTAAAAATCAAGGACAATTAGACCTTTTTGTGACCTTAAGCATATTTTAAAAATCCACTTATAGTCATTTTAAGTTTTTACAAAAATGTATAAAATATTCACGCGTATTATCCTTTTAAAATCGACAAAATATTAAGGTATATTATCCTTTAGGACCTTCAAGAATATTTTAAATATTCATATTAATTATACTTTTGAAAACTTTAAAAATTAAAGATCTACATTCATGATCCTTCTGGGGACCTCTAAAAATTCTTAAGAAATCCAAGTTTATTGTCCTTTTAGCTACCTTACAAAACACATGATTAGTGTCCTAGTAATTGCATATTAAAATTCAGCCTATTGTCCTTCCAGGAACCTTTTAAAACCCACATTCATTGGCCTTGTTGGGACCTTTAAACATCCAGGTTTAATCTCCTTCTGGGGACCTTTGAAATCCCACGTTCGTGCCCCTTATAGGTCCCACTAAAAATTCATGTCTTACATCCTTTGGTGACCTTTTTAAAATCAACGCAAATTGTCCTACTAGCAGCCTTATAAAAACCTATTTTCTTCTTAGATAATATTAAAAAATCCATGTTTATTTTCCTTGTGGAGAACTTCAAAACCCCAGCTGATTGTCCTTTTAGGGAACTTAAAAATCCACATTCATATTCCTTCTGGAACCTCTGAAAATCGTTTAAAAATCCAAGTTTATTGTCCTTTTAGCTACCTTAAAAATCCATGTTTACTGTCCTAATAGTGGCCTTTTAAAATTCACCCTCTTGTCCTTCTAGGAAACTTTAAAACCCCACGCCTATTATCCTTTTTCGGATCTTTAAACATCCACGTTAAGTCTCCTTCTGGGGACTTTTAAAAACAAACGTTCGTGGCCTTTTCAATTCCCTTAAAAAATCACGTTTTATTCTTCTGGTGACATTTAAAAATCAATGCTTTTTGTCCTCTAAAAAACCTTTCAAAATCCACGTTCATTGTCCTTTTGGGGACCTCTAAACAATCCTTTAAAAAACCACGATCATTGTCACTTTTGGGGCCTTTACAAACAACTTTCAAAATCAACCTTCATTGTCCTTGTGAGGACTTCTAAAAAAGTATTTAAAAATCCACGTCCTTGTGGGGACATATAAAAAATAATTTAAAACTCCAGGTGCATTGTCCTTGTGAAAGAAATCCTTTTAAAATCCATGTCCTTGTGGGGACCTATCATTTAAAAATCCAGTTTCATTGTCCTTGTGGACACTTTAAAAAATCAAAATCGTTCATTGCCCTTTTGGGAGCCTCTAAAAATCCTTTAACAATCCAAGTTCATTGTCCTTTTGGGGACCACTAAAAAAACTTTTAAAAATCCAGATTCATTGACTTTATGAGGACCTCTATAAAACTCTTTTAAAATTTAAGTTCATTGTCCTTCGGGGACCTCTAAAAAATCTTATAAAAATTCAGGTTCATTGTCCTTGTGTGGACCTGTAAAACATTCTTTAAAAATCCAAGTTCATTGTCCGTTTGGAGACTTTTAAATTCTTTAGAGAATATGAAAACGGATTTGAAAAATTCGCGTTTATTGTCTTTTTATGGCCTTTCGAATATGCCTGTATTTGGTTCGTTCATGCTCATTTCAGGTCACTTTTCAAATCAAAGTTCATGGTCCTTTTATGTCCCTTTAAAGGACCTCTTTCGTGCTCATTTTGGGAACTTAATAATCTATGTTTATTAGTCCATGTTGATGGTCCTTTTAGGGACCTTTAAAAGATTTTTTATTAATTGCCCTTTAAAAATCATTCATTGTTCTTTTAGGGACCTTTGCAAAATCCCCTATTCTGAGACCCTTAGGAAACCCTCAATAATCCACTTTTTGTCATTTCAGGGGCCATTTCTGGGGCCAGAAATTTTCGAATATAAAGTCCTTGTAGGGACATTTAAAATCTCTTTTAAAAACCCACAAATTATACTAATTGTCCTGCTACGATCTTTGTAAATCTACAAAAATTGCTTATTATTTTCTTTACATTGTCAGAGAAGGAGCACTCTCAGTTATCTACCAGGGAAATAAGACAAATTAATTCTTTTGCTATTTATTGGTATGTTCCAGAACTGCAAGAATGTAACTTGGTACCATAACGGATTTTCCTTTATGATATAAAAAATTGTAAAATAGCAGATTCTTGAAAGTTCTGAAACAGGGCATATGTAATCACCCATTATTTTTCAACCCTGTGCTAATAGAAAAGGTAGCCCCTTTTGTATTACCCTGTAATGACTTGTTCGACACTTGAGTGGAAAATAAAAAATTCGAAAAGCTCTACCTAATCTTAGAACCTAACACTGACCTTAAAATTCTTTCTTCAAACGTACCATTTTATATTTTTTGATTTCGCAAAGATTTTTTTTAATCGTACCTCGGCGCCCAACGTTGGACTGCCCTGCTACAAATTAAAAACTATGTAAATATTATTTATCGTCTTCCCTAAAACATGTGAATTTTTATTTTTATTTGCCTTGTTTAAACATTTTGTTTGCATTTTCAATTACGAAGTATGGGATTAATGTCGATGCCATTGGCTGCCACAGTACAAGGCATAGTGCCTGTGTACGCTTTTTGCTGTAAACTTACCCGAGCGGTATGATAACGTATCTGCATTCCAGTGCTAATGCCGGGCTCGTTCAATTGAACGCCACCCATGGAACTGCTATCTTCCTCCGAGAATTCTGTCTGCTTGTAGCGCGTCATCTAAAAGAAAGAACAAGAAGAAGAAAAGAGCGCGCACCCACAACCAGACGGACGGACAGACGTGTTGTGAGTGTACGCACAAAATGAATATTAATTTCAATTCAATTCAAATCCAATTACAGACATCACTCAAGTCAAGAATTATGGCTGGGCATGAAATGGTGGAAAACGCAAACTGACAGATGGTCAGAGAAACGGATGGATGGATGGATGGATGGATGGAGGATGAATGTATCATCCATGCCACTGAGATAAACTATTCCGCGGTACACATCGTTCATACGTACATCGAAGCGCCGTTGAAAGAAATTGTAAACAAACATGGCTGTGTGTCACGCAGAGGAACAACCACAACCGGCCTTCCCCTTTCTCCTCTTCTCACAAAAACTTTGAAGGCCTGTCGGTATGCAATGTCGTCAATGATTACAACGCTGCTACTGTGAGTAACTCGTGATCACAAAATTCGATTATTTTCGAAATGAAAAAGTTATCCACGCACAACAACCTCCAACCGAATATAGCTGGCAGAGTGGAAGAGAGAACAGCGATGCCTTCAATATGACCAAACGCTGGAGCTATACTGAGTTCTGAAACAATTTTACCAGCCACCATCGTCAGATGTATGAAATCTTACGGGCAAATACCCTCAAGAATATGTGCAACGTAAGAACAGCTCTACAAACATCTTGTCGCTGTCATTCGCCACTGGAAGTGGGCAAAACACAGAGAAAAGCGGAAAAGGGAAGCAACAGATATCGGACATGATGTTGGCATGTTCCTCACTTCGTTTCAACAGCCTCCCATCATCACTGACTGCTGCCAACAACCAACCACCCACCCACCACCGGCATAACAAGAATTTGTGTTTTGTTTACTTTGCTAATGAACGGAGCGGGCCAATCTGCTTGGCAGTAAGTGGGCCAGCTAAAAAAAAATTATGGAAAGTTATTAAAGAATTTTCGGACTTTTTAAATATTCTACGAGTAATAGGTGTGTCTAGTTACCTAAAATTTCTAATAATTGTTGTAAATTATTACAGAATGGAGACACACCTATTTTTTTTCAAAAACTAATTCAACGATTCCATATGTAAACCTAAAAAACCAACGGTGACCTCAATAGCAAATTTCAGAATGTCAGCTTATCCCAGTAACATTTGGTACGCATATCCAAAACAATCCTCCTCTCTTAATCACACATTTCCAAACCCAACTCAAAACAGCAACCAATTTCAGATTGCTGTCATTTCTAAGCCACTCGTCCGCTGTTAAAATTATTCCAGTGACAGCTCATTATATTTCTTACAAGCGTACAAAAGCATTTTGGTGAGAATTTTCCAGGAAAAAAGTTATTCGTGATGGAATTCAAGCGAGATAATGTGATTTCTCTATATTTGGCTGGAAAACCACAAATGGCTATCGTTAGAGCACTCCAGCATTTAAATGTGAATAAATCTTTTGTGTCTCGTACCATCGGTCGTTACCGTGATACTGGTAGCGTAGCCCTATGTCAAGGAAGTAGACGGAAGAAAACAGCAACATCAGCAAAAATGGTTCGAAAAGTAAAGAAGCGACTTGATCGAAACCCGCATCGCAGTGGCCGAAAAATGACTCGTGGGCTGAACATATCGCAATATTCCATTCGGCAAATATTGAAAAATGAGCTCGGGATAAAGCCATTAATTCCAAAAAGTGCAATAACTTACACCGCAACAGAAAGAAAATAGACTCAAAAGAGATAAAGAGTTGCTTCGCTTGGGCGAAAGTGGTAAACTGCCGAATTTGGATTTCTCCGTGGAGAAAACATTCGTTGTCCTGCAGCTGTAAACAAACAAAATAATCGTGTTTACTTGCAAAAGAGGTCAGCTGAAAATGTACACCTTCGGTTGGCCACCAGAACTCAAGCACCGGCCATGGTGATGGTGTGAGGCGCCATATCAGCCGATGGTCGCTGAACTATTGTGTCTGGAGTCTTTTGGAAAGCAAGGTTGGCACAAAAAAATACCAAAGTGTCGATCACCTCAAGCGAGCGCTTCGCCGGAAATGGGCCAAAATACCGCAGAGCAACATTCGGGCAGCGTGTGACGGTTTCATTGGCCGTTTGAAGGTCATAATTCGTTCTAAAGGTGGCCAATGCGAACAAATCTAAACTTTTTCTAAAATTTAATGCTATTTCCGACATTTTTTGCTTTCATACAATAAAATTAAAAAAAAAAATGTAAAAATTACGGCGTTTTACTTTGTTGCAGGTTTTTATCTCACCCTGTAAACAATTTTATACTACAAGGATTGTTATTGATTGTGAGAAATAAAAACCAAATTTCGTGGGTAAATATGCCCAGGATTATCAAAATACCGAATATCAGTGGTTACCGTTACATGGAAAACGTTGACCAATATGGAAAATGTTTTGCCAGCAGTTGTAGAACCCTTTATGGAGTACATGTACTAAATTGTATACAAATCTACTAGAAAATGTGGCCTAAATCCTCAAAATACCGAATATCCGAATGTAGCGTTACATGTGCTCTATAGGAAAACGTGAACCCAGAATTTTAATGTTCTGGTACCGGAGCTAGAACCCATTACGAATTACAAATACCAATTTATGGACAAGTCCGTGAAAAATAGCTACAACTATAAAAAACCGAATATCGATGGGTACCGTTATATGGAAGATATACCGAAACGTGGATCTTCTAAAAGAAATGTCAAAATATCTCTTTTGCCGAACTATTGTGTTAAAAGACGACTTCCAGTAACAATATTTCAACATTACATCCATGGTACAATGAATAGAAGGTAGGCCAACTTTAAAAAAATTGCAAGTATAGAGGTCTACCTGTTTGGCTTGTAATGTCAGAAATAGTATCAAAACAATAACAAAATCAAACAACTTGTTGCATTTATTTTGAATAAATAATTGAAAATCGCGATAAATGAATGAAAGGTCAACACTTCTTTTCAAAATCATGTACTATATATCTCTAAAGGATTATTTCGCTACAAAAACTCTAGATTTTTTCGATGCATACGTTGAAATAAAGATTTTGAAAACACCCGAATTTGAATATTTTCTGAACAATTCTTTTGTTATTGAAAAGAAAACACATACATAAACAAAAAAAAATGACATATTAAGCCAAGAAAATAAAAAAATTAAAATCATATGGTATCATAGCCCTACCTTGATATCATTGTACCATGATTACATCCATAGTACAATAACTACAAGGGAGGACAAATTAAATAAATTTGAAAACACACAACTCGACGTTAGAGTCTCGCAACTTCAAATAAATAATAGCAAATGCACCAAGTTGTTTGGTTTATTTGACACTTTTCTTTTAATATTTATATATAAAAGAAAATACAAAAAATAAGTAGAACACCGCGGATAGTTAACAGTATTGAGCTTTCCAAAAAAAAGCAGTTTATTAGCAGTTTATTATTTAAAACAATACTCGTGCATACACATGCAAAAACTGTGTATGGGCTTTGACATTACAAGAGTACAAAAAGAAAAAAAAATTGTATTCAGGTAATTACTATGCCCTACCTACAAGGCCTATTTAATAAAGTCACACAGGGCATTACTGAAGATTAACCCACTGGGTTTATTAGGTCCAGTGGATTAATCTTGTGTGTTTAGATATGCCCCTCAACGGATGTTGGTTTACCCATATATACACAACCAAAAGAGAATGCAAAAATAGCCAAATATCAAAAAACCCTAAAATATAGAGACAATTGTTGTTTAAAAATAAGCATTTATTCACATTCCAAGGAAAAAAAATATTTTTTTTGTTATTGTTCCAATGCAAAATGTAAAGAACGCATTTGCGGAAACAGAAGATCTATTTTTGTAAGGTAACATTACGTTTACATATAAAGGGGTTAACCCATACACTACAGAAATGCATAAACTACAGAAATGCAGCCCTGAGGCTATGCCCGCTTCTTGACAGAATCATTTAAAATTATATACAAGAAGTTATTTTCATTTTTTTTATATTTTTCTCATCTTTAAAATGAGTTAAATAGCACGAAAAATAAATGAAATGCCTGAGTTTTCTCCCAAAAATATGATCCAAACTGTTCAATATTTCAACTTCATGGCTAAACTGGTTAATAGCTTTAACGCGCGCGCCGCAATGTATTAGTCTTCCAATCATTGGTTTTGAAAACAATATTTTTCTTTTTTTTTTCAAAACAATATATACATACACAAAGTAGGCAGAAGTCGGGCACACTTATTGTACCATAGATTAACTCACTAGATTTGTATAAAAATTGTCATATCTATTACTTATGCTTGAAAAAATCCTCTTCAAATAGGTTAACCCTACATAAAGCTCTTACATAAACCATTGTAGAAGAATACAGGTTGTCGCATTGTCACAGCTGACAATGAACTGTCAAACTGATTTTTAATGAAAATTGAATGTGAAAGTGTTGAATGAAAATTTTTTGAAATTTGTACAAATTTTTGACAAATGTGTATCATATCAAAGTCCGATGTGCATCGTATGAGAAAACATATAAAAATCTACTTATTTTTGACTAAACATTTTAAAAATGTTGGCATATCAATGTTCCCAAGCATTGATCCATCTACCTAGATTCTTTTACCATGACATAAACACGGCATAAAAGTACGTTTAGATTTAGGAAAGCCAAGCTTCTTCTTATCGATAACACATTTTTTTCATGTTTAGAGAATGATTAGACTAGTTAAAACTATTGATTTCTTATTCTAACACATTAAAAGTAATATGCTACATTGCAAACATTAATATTTGAGTATATATGCGAAAATATATATTTGAGTGTGAAAAGCTTGCTCCCGGCCTTAACATTAGCTGGCAGAGCATTTGACGTCTGCCAATTATAAATAATCTTAAAAAATAAACACAATAACAAGTCTGTTTAGGATATGACAAAAAGAGCACTTACAAAGGTTAACAGAGAATGGTTAAAACAAAATTAAAAAAAAACTAGTTGAATAATTAAATACATTTTGGTTAATAATTCGATCGCTTATTACGATAAGCTTAATTTAGGTAAGTTTTAATAAATCAGCATAGTCTTTTAATTACTCGATCTCAAATGTTAATACTACACGTCAAATAATATCAACTCGACTTGTGAATACGATTTACGTGACGTATACGCCATGGAATTGACATTTCAAATCGAGTGGATTTAGTAGCTCTGTAAAGTGAGAAAAGAAAACCAACCGAAAGGTTTGGCTGTAGATTCAATTCTATTTTGGAGCCTGCTTGGAGGATCAATGTTTTAGTGAGAAAAGAGTCCAATCTCTCTCTTCGATTGTCAACTCAATTCTCTATTCGGTGATGAGAAAAGAATACAACCGCTTCGCTTGGGTGTAGATTCAATTCTATTATGGATCCGGCTCGAAGGACCAATGTAAAAGTAGAATAGAGTCCAGTCTCCCTCTTCGATTGTCAACTCTATTCTGTTTTCGATGAGAAAAGAAACACGACCGATTAGTTTGGTTGCTATTTCAATTCTATTTTGGATCCGGCTCGAAGGACCAATGAATGAGAAAAGAAAACCAACCGAATGGTTAGGCTGTTGATTCAATTCTGATTTTATTTAAAGAATATGTTTCTTACGTACTACTGAAACTAATCTAACTTAACCTAGTCGCAGCCACACAATTGTTCTTATCTATTCTAATACTGAATGGAGAACATTGCAGGGCTGCTTGACATCTCATTCAAGTGGTCTTGTGCATCTACTGAGCGCATCGATATATGTGCGTGTGGGTCATAACCTTTATTATCTCTCGCATTATCGTATGCGTCAGCGCACAAGATCACCGAATTCTTCACATGTGATATTTTATGGCGGCTGGGAAATATTTAATTTTAGAACATTTATCTTTTATTGCTACATTTTCCCAGCGCCTCAATCGCACTCAAAAGTATGTACAAAGTATTTTGTACAAGTTCTA